GGAGGAGGAGGGGAGGAAGAGGGGAAGAGTGGAGGAGGAGAGAGGAAGAGGGGAGGAGGAGGAGGGGAGGAGGAGGGGAGGGAGGTGGGACACCAGAATCAACAGGTGCATCCTTTCCTGCAGAGTGCAGCTGAGAGCTTCACCTCTGTGCTGGAGCAGAAGTCCAAGTGGACCAAGCTCAGCAGGGACGAGACGTCTGCCCTGGCCACAGTGTTGCTGGAGAGTGTGCAGAGCTCCACCTTGGCGGCCCTTCTGCAGCCCTCAGAGAATGTCAGCCARACGGTGCAGACGGAGCACTTAGGTAGCATGCCCCTCCTGGCAGGGTCTCACCTGACACTGATTTTGAGGAAGAGAGGTGAAAGGGAAGACACAGGGGAGGAGGAGAGGAGGAGGAGGAGAGGAAGGGAAGAGGAGGAGGGGAGGAGGGGAGGAGGAGGGGAGGAGGAGGAGAGGAGGAGGTGACTTTGACAATGGATCCTCCAGAGCTTTCCCACCTGCACTTTCCTCAACTGTCCCAAATTCCTGAATTCACAGCAAAGCAAGTCTAATCTTACTAAGGACTTTCCCATTTATTGAATGTCTGTGAGGGCGGGGCACTGCGCCAAGGGTGGACAACTCAAGGGCCATTAACTCTTTCAACAAACATTTGTGGCTGCCTATTACATACAGGGTTAGGGAATGATGGTCATTTACTGTGTGTAAATGCAACTCTCCCCCCTGGGCCCACAGTAGGACTGTGCTTCCTGCCATGGGGTTWCGTAGAATTTTGTGACTAATTCAGGCCATAGTTGTTGGTGTGAGACCTTCCAGAACATTTTTTTCCCTCTTTCTTAGTGACTGGAAAGTGTTTCCTCTCATGTTGCTCCAGTAGCTTGGGTCCCAGAGATAAGATAATAAAAAACAGGAACCCAAGTCAATTTTCAGTGGATACAAAACATTATTGAGAAATAGCTATTATTATTTAAAAAWTTTTTTTAGTTGTAGATGGACATAATTTTTATTTATTATTTATTTATTTTTATGTGGTGCTGAGGATTGATCCCAGTGCCTCACACATGCTAGGCAAGCGCTCTACCCCTGAGCCTAGCTATTATTTTTAATACCCAAAGACTTGGGACTGTTTGTTACTGCTGCATGACTGATCCTTTTCTGACTGACATGTGGCTTGATAGCTGACCACTTGGGAACACGGTGCTGTAGATCTTTTGCAGCAGCCCCCACACTTCTGGTCATAGTTTCTGCCTCAGTCAGTCCTTTAAATTCTAATGGACCCCCAGAAGGCCATGAGTGGAGAAGAGACCTCCACCAGCAGTGAACATGAGTCCTATATTTTGGTGACATGAGAGAGATGATAAGCAAACAGACATCTGGTATACCAGATAGGCACGGCACAATTGACAAAAATACAGCAGGATGAGGACGTCTGAGAGGGTTAAGGAGCGAGAGTTGCCACTGCTATAGTGTGGACAGGGGAGTCTCGTGGGGCAGGGGCCTCGGGTGAGGGAACASCATCAAGTTCTGGAGGAAGAACAACTGCAGGAATACCTGGCGATTTCAAGGAATATAGGAGGAGGCCGCGTTGCCTAGAAGAGGGGGATCTGTAGGGAAAGGGGCCAGACAGACAGAAAGAGGCAGCTTCTGTAGATGAACGTGGGAACCCAGGTTGTGAYTGGAAGGAGAGGGTAGAGCAGGCGTTGGAGGATCGGGGCGTGGTCATGGCGTTATCTGGTGCATGTCTTGAAAAGGTACTCTGATTTCCTTTTCTTATCTTCATGGAGAGCCAATGGGATAGACCCTGCAGCTATTGTCGTGTTACTGATGAGAAACAGGAGGCCCCGCAGGTAAAGTTGTTGCTCAAGGATGCACAGCTGGGGAGTGGCAGAGGGGACCTCGGGGTCCCTCCATCCTCCTCTTTTTGTTTGTGGTGCTGGGGAYGGAACCCAGGGCCTCTTGGACACCTGGTAAGTGCTGTGCCTCTGAGCCGCACCCCAGCCGTTGTCTCCACCCAAATGCGGAACCAGACCCTGTGCACCATGCTGGGCTGGCCCGAACCCTTCTGGTCTCCCTTGGCCTTGGAAAAYTTGTCTGAACTTGGAGTAGCCAGAAGATCGCCCTCTGCTGCCTTCCGCCAGGACTGCAGTGTTGGTCGGCTTTTCACCTGTGAAACAAATCCCCGCAGTACACCAGCTCCTAGAGAGCAGAGCTTCTTTTGACTCGCAGTCTCGGTGGTTTCAGCCCGTGGTCAGCTGGCCCTGTTGCTCTTGGTCCTGTGGCGTGACAGCCCATCATGGTGGGACATGCCGTGGAAGGAGCTGCTCAGCTCCTAGCAGTTAGGAAGCCAAGTGAGAGGGAAACTCTGGGGATGGGATCCCCAGAGCTCTTTCCAGCCCCCATGACCTTCCACTGAGTCCCACCTCTTAAAGTTCCTACCACCTCCCAGCACCTCAGGCTGGGGCCAAGCCTTCCACACAGGGGCCCTGCARAACCTTTTAGGTCCAAGCTCAGAGGCTGACCTGAACTCCGTCTCTCTCTGATGCGTCCCCTTGATGGAAGGGCGTTTCTAAGGCTCCAGCCGGATGGCTCATTTCTTTGGTGCTGCTACTGTCCCTCATCCTTCAGCAAGGGGCTCAAGACCTTGCCACGATGCAGCAGCCTTTCTGTTCTTTCCTTTGCACACGACTATGAATGTGCACCTTTCTGGAGCAGAAACCAAATTCTGACCCACTTTCTGGGTGACCACCTGTGCTCCCTCCCTTTCTTTTTTTAGATATCGAGAGCAAAGTCATCAAGGAGGACTGCCTTGAGGAGAATGGCTTTTCTCTGAAAGCCAAAGGGGATGGGATGAAGATCAGTTGCTCCACGATCAAGGAATCTAGATCCTCAGGTACGGACCCGCCCCTGAGAACCCACAAGGTGCTGTGCTGCATTCTGTGTGAGTGAGTTTTCTGTTGCTGTGACCGAAAGACCTGAGGAGAACAGCTTAGAAGAGGAAAGGTTTTTCTTGGCTCTTGGTTTTAGAGGTTCAGTCCATGGTCAGTTGACTCCAAGGCAGAAACATCGTGGAAGAGCACGTGGGCTCAGCTCCTGGCAGCTGGGAAGCAGGGGCAAGAGGAGCTGGGGACGAGACAAACTCCCCAGGGCAGGCCCACAGTGGCCTATTCCCTCTGACTGGGTCCTACCTCCCAGTGGTCCAACTGGCTATCAGTCAAGTGGAAATGGACTGATCCCAGGATGAGGGCAGAGCCCTCACGATCCACTCAAAAGCCCCACCTCTGGAACTTGCTGCACTGGGGACCACACTTCCAACACATGAGCTTCTGGGGGACACTTCAGGTTAAAACCGCAGCACATTCCATCTACAGATACCTGTGAATCACCTCCCAGGTGTCAAGACTCATGCCAGGTGGTTGAAAATCAAGAGCAGTGGAGTCAGAAGTGGCCTGTGTTCTCAGGGAAGTTGAATATTAAAAGGAAAATCCCATGATACCGGGTGGTGAGGCCTTCTGGACCCCATCTGGTAGCCACTGGCCACCTTTGGCTGAACGGTGACAAGGACGAATTGAAGTGTGCTCTAAGTGGAAGCTCCACACTGTGTTTCAAAGACTTGGAACAAAAAAATAAGGATGCAAAGTATCTCACTTGTAAGCTTGTGTATGGGCTTTAAAAAGATCAAATGTAATCAAAACACATTTTCAACTTTTTATTTAAAAAATGGACAGAGAGGGGTGTGCATTTGTTGCATGCGGCCTGATGCTTTGCAGTACGTGTGCCTTGAGGAAGTCACACTCCAGCTGATTCACAGGTGTACCACCTCACAGAGTCGCCGATTTTGTAGCGAAGACACTTTTTTCCACAGCCACTCTCTCAACGTTTTTCTGGGATGTGGTACGTCCTCATTAGCTGTGGTCACCATGCTGCAGAGTAGAGTCCTTGGACTTGTCCTTCCTATCTCACATGAACGTAGGGTTCTGTACCACCACCCCCAGCACCCCCAGCTCTGGTGACTGCTGTCACGTTCTACTTTCTACATGAGGTCAACRTTTCTTGGATTCTACAGATGAGATCACATGGTGTTTGTCACTGTGTGCCTGGCTTATTTCACTTAACGCCACGTCTTCTGGGATTGTCTCATTGCTGCAAATGACAGGAGTTTGGAAAATGTGGTATACACAATGAAAGACTATTCAGCCATAAAAGTGTGTGTGTGTGTGTGTGTGTGTGTGTGTGTGCGCGCGTGCGCGTGCACCTGTGTTGGGCCAGCTTCAACAGCTGCCCAGCCAATGATTCCTGTTTTCCTCTTTCTCTTTGGGGGGAATCTGCAGGGCCCACGGGGGTGGCTTTTGTCTCCTTTGCGAACATGGAGTCCGTCTTAGATGAGCGCTTCCTCCGGGGCCCTCAGAGCCCCAGGGCCAACGTCAAGCAGAGGCTGAGGATGAATTCTCGCGTCGTTGGGGGCATCACAACCGGGGAGAAGAAGGACAACCTCTCGGAACCTGTCCTCTACGTCCTGGAGAACCTTCAGGTGGCGAAGGGGGTCTCTCTTTTTATTTTGAAGTCATCATAGATTCAGTTGTAAGAGAGAGTTCAGAGGAACGCCATGCMCCCTGTGCTGAGTTCCCCCGTCCAGATGAGCCTCGGAAGTGTCCGTGGGCACGATGCTCTTCCCTCCAGGGCCTTTAAACACTTACTTTTTAATTGATACATAAAAACACAGTTGTACAAATTAAAGGGGGACCACTTGATGTTTCAATCCATGGAAACATCTGTAATATTTGAATTAGGTTTTTAAATTAGACAGTGTGATAATTTTTTTCTTCACTTTTTCATTGTTGCATTATAGTCGTGCATAATGGTGGATTCTGTCATCTCTTATTATTGTGTGTACCCAACATACCACATCATTTGACCACTGTCACCCCCAGCACCCCATCCCCGCCCCTTCCTTTCCTTTTCTTCCTCTGCCTTCCCTGTGAGCCCCCTGCCCCCCTCGATTTTCCTTGTCCGTCCTCCTCTCCAGCTTCCACAAGTGTGATGACTTGGTACATGCACACCACGTGTAATGACCAAGTCGGGGCGCCCCTGATCAGCATCCACCTCTCTCACACCTATCGTTGCTAAGTGTTGGTAACGTTGGGTTCTTCTGTAGTAAATGTTTTGTAGACTTAGCTCATTTTTAATGGGGGACCACAGGGCAACAAACACCCACCGTTTCTTGCAACTCAAGCCAATGACCCAAGCCACTGCTGGAGAAGCGTCTCCCCGGGTGATGTCGTTCTTGGGTTCTGCAGCGGCAGGGTGAGGTGTGTGAAGGAGCGCAGTAGGAAGCCGCACGGGCAGTGTGTTCACGGAGGCAGAACCTCTGCTCTGGAGGCAGCGCATCCCTCTCCTCCTCCTCCTCTCCCCATGGAACACATCACGTCCTTCAGAGAGGAACTCTCGGGTGACCAGCCCTTTGCTTTTCCAGCCGAAGCAGAAGTCCGAGAGGCCCATCTGCGTGTCCTGGAGCTCAGACATGGGGGATGGTTGGTGGACGCCGGCCGGCTGCGAGGTCCTGGAAGTTCTGGAGACACACACGGTCTGCAGCTGTAACCGGCTGGCCAACTTGGCCATCATCATGGCTCTTGAGGAGCTCCCGGTCAGTGCTGATGATGGGTACTCTGGCTCCCTGAGTGTCTGCTTCAAACCCAGCGGGAAAACACTGACTGGATGTCTTTTGGGTGTCCCCTGTGGTGTTTTGTGCGGTGGGAGGGAGCCAGGGGGTCAGAGGGATGGATGCCRTGCCTCGTCCTTTGGGAGTTCATGATCTGGTTGGGAAACATGATGCTCAACTATGAAATCAGAAATAGTGACCCCACACAGGGCAGGCTCCATGGTGGCCGCAGGTCTTGTTTAGGGGGCATCCATCGTGGGCTGACTTTCAGTCTTCAGCTGATCATTCTTAGACCCATTTCACAGGCTGGGAGGTTGAGGCTCACTAGCCTGCCTCCTTGTGAGGTTAGCTATTGATGGAGCTGGTATCTGAACTGGGGTGGGGGGTGTCTGGCTCCAAACTTCTCTTTTCACTCCACCATATACATGGAGCAGAAGGCTGGGCTTCAGGAATGGACAGGCGTCCAGTGGGAGAGGGTGGCGGGTGCGTGAGCAGATGAGGTATGAAGGGAGCCGCGGTGAAGGTGCACATGAGGAGAGGCTGGGGTGTCCCTGCCCATCCTGCCAGAGCCGAGGGTCAGTTCCCCGCCAGAGAGGCACCAAGCTCTGGGWGGAGATTCAGTGGATCAGGACTGAAGGGAACGGATCCAGAGCAAGGTTGGCCTCCCGTCAAGTCCCCTCTCTGCCACTTTAGAGYTGCATTTGCTTGGCCAAGTCAACCTCTGAGCTGAAGCCAGCTTTCCCATCTCAAAACTGAGAACGAGAAGAAAGTAATAACTCACACTTCCACGGGGTGTAAAATGTTACCGGCACATTTATCAGCTTTCTCTGAACCCTCCCCCAAAGCAGTTACTATTAATAACCTCCTTTTTACAGATCAGTAAACTGAGGCACCGAGGACTTAGGTATTTTATGCAAAATCATACAATTAGAAACCGGCAGAATTTTGATCAGCTTTCTTAGGCACTTTGTGACAATATCACACAGAAGAGGTCATGGAAGAGAGCCTGGCCTATCTTCAACTCAGAGAAAGTCATGAACTTATGAATAACGTTAAAATGAATTATGAAAAGAGGGCATAGAAGGATTTAGCTTGTCATTTCCACTCCCCGAGATTGCTGCATCCTTGAATGTCTGTGGATCAGTTAGGGTTCAGGGGAGGCAGCAGAAACCCCTCCAGGTTTTTCAAGCAGAAAGGAATTTAACGCAGGGCATTGAAAGCCCACGCCATCACAGAGCAGGAGGAGTGGAAGTTAGGAGGCTGATTCCTGGACTTTGGCTTCAAGGTCACCCCTATCCTGTGGCTTATTCCAGAGGTCAGAAGCAGATGTCTTCATGTCCATCCTGTCCCCATGCAATCGGGGACAGGATAGCTGGAATATGGTGTCCAGCCACGGCTCACTCCTATCTGCAGAAGGCTGGCATTTCCCTCCTTTCTGCCTTCCAGAACTTTATGCATGCATCTCAGTGGGGGACCTAAGTTACGGGAGGACCTTTGCCCCGAGGGATTCTGGGATATGTAGTTTGTGGACATGCAGCCCAAATGCACAGGGTGAGCCCACTCCAGGAGAGCGGTGATGCTGAGGGTGACAGTGGACAGTATCTAGGTCATTCTGAGTGTCAGAGGGAGGAAAGGCTGAGCCTTTTCTTCCAATCCGGGATTTGGATAATTCTTCTTTCCTGCTTGGGGCATTCTGGTTCCTTGCCAAGGCCAGCGGTGGATCTCCTTTCTGGCAGGTGGCGGTCTCCTTGGAAATCATTAGCCTCGTGGGCCTGAGCCTCTCCCTGGTGTGCCTTGTCCTGGCCATTGCCACCTTCCTGCTGTGCCGCGCCATTCGCAGCCGCAACACCTCCCTCCACCTGCACCTCTGCGTGTGTCTCTTCCTGGCCAAGATTCTCTTCCTCACCGGTGTAGACAAGACCGACAACCAGGTCAAACCCCTAAGCTGTGTCCCCTTCCAGCCCCTTCCTCTGCCAGTCTGTGTCTGCTCAGCCCTACCCAGCTCCCTCCCTCAGGGCCTTTGCACGTGCTGGGCCCCTTCCTGCTGCCCAGCTCCCGGCTGCTCACCTAGCTGACGGCTTCCTGTGTGGCGGTCAGCTTCAGATCACTTCCCCCACCATGTCCGGAGGTGGTCTACATCCTATTCCTGTCTTGGCCAGYGGTCCTCACCTGTGGGCGTTTTGCCCCTTGGGAGACTTGGCAATGTCCAGGGATGTTTCTGACTGTCATCACAGGAGGAGGTGACACAAGGTAGTACTTGAGGTGGCACAGGACAGCCCTCATGCCCCAACAGAAATGAGACAACTGTGTAGTGAATGTGAACAGCACAGTGGGGTGGCCGAGGACCTGTCCTCCTGTGGCGCTCTCTGCTGCTTTCTCTCCCAGCACGTTAAATGGTGCTAACTCCTGTGGGTGTGTCCACCTCCCTCACCGCACTGACACGGCCCGGGGCGGGGGTGAGACCATAGTAGGCCAGCCCCACCTGCCACCGCACAGTAGGTGCTGGGCTTCCCTGAAGGAGCTTTGTGCAGGGCCCCCTCCCTCTCCCTCTCCGTGGGGTGCTCAGCTTCCTGCCCCCGGGGGCTACATGCAGGGGCCTCCCTCAGCACTCTCAGGGCCCCCGCCCCCTGCTCTCTGTGGGGGCGCCTGACTCTGCCTGCTCTGCAGACGGCCTGTGCCATCATTGCCGGGTGCCTCCACTACCTTTTCCTGGCCTGCTTCTCCTGGACGCTGGTGGAGGCCGTGACCCTCTTCCTGATGGTCAGAAACCTCAAGGTGGCAAACTACTTCAGCTCCCACAACATCAGCATGCTGTACCTCTGTGCCTTTGGCTACGGGTTCCCAGGGCTGGTGGTGGCCRTCTCTGCCAGCATGTACCTCCAGGGCTATGGGACGCATAACCGGTGAGTGACAAGGTCTCTCTTCCTGAAGACCCTACTGCCAGGTTCAGGAAGAGCAGTAACTGCAGCAGTCGTCCTGCCGAGGTCACAGCTGTTGTGCGCAGTAGCGTGGGTGGTGTACTTTACAAACCCAGGTGTCACTACTACCTGAGTGTCCCATTCCGGGGAGAGGACAGCTAGTGGGCCTGATGTGATTATCTTCCTATTGGTGTATGCGTGAGCACGTGCACATGTGTGTAGTCAGCTTTTTTTGTTGCTGTGACAAAACACCTGAGAGAATCAACTTAAGGGAGAAAAGGTGTATTTTGGCTTTGGGGCTTGCAGTTTCAGAGGTTTCAGTCCATGGTGAGCTGGCTCCATTGCTTTCAGGCCTGCAGTGAGGTGGAGACCTCATGGCAGAGGGCATGGTGGAGGAAGGGTGCTAACCTCATGGCATGAGGGAGACAGTGAGGAAGAGGAGGGGTATGCCTGGGACAGTACCTAGTCCCCCAGGACCCCTCCCCTCAGCTGGGTCCCCCTCCTACAGCTTCCTTCTTCTTCCCCCCTTCCTTCCCGTTAAGGAACAATCACGGAATGCCCTGGTCCAGGCCAGGCTAGCTGCTGGGTGCTGGTTTATTAAAGAGAAGAACAAAACACTCAAGCCCCAAATTCTCGTGCAGTTCATAATGGAGCAGAGGCAGAAAGACCCAGACAACTAACAAGACAAGTTAGGACAGAACAGCCGTCATTTTTAACCGTGCAGCGAGCACTGATAGAGAGGGTCTAGGTTGGGATTCTTGGCTAAGGATGGTCAGGAGCAGCTACTGCATGGAATGGGCCCCTGAGCTGGGATCGAATGACAGCAGATCTGTTGTATCGGTGGGAGCCGTGCAGAGAGGGACAGGGGACTGCAGAGGTTCCGCGCTGAGGACGTGCTTCCCAGACAGYGCTAGGCCAGCATTTCAGGCACGTCTGTGCAGGTGGAAGGTGTGCAAAGCAGGCACCAGAGTCCAGAGGAACCACAGGCAGCCTGCCCCATGGTGAGAGTTCTCACCTCGGTCTCACCTCCCAGGCTCCTCCATCCGAGCACAAGCAGGCACAGGAACAACCGCAGGGCCAACTCGGAGACAATGCTCACTCCTCCCGTTTCCCTCCACAGCTGCTGGCTCAGCACAGCTAGAGGCTTCATCTGGAGCTTTCTGGGGCCGGTGTCCGTGATCATACTGGTAAGCAAATTGTTTGGTGAAGAATGTTTTGGAGCAGGAGGCAGGAGACCCGGGCGGTCAGGAAGGGCCAGGAGAGGGCAAAGGCAAGAAGGTTCCTTGCTGCCCTCAGGAGCTCTCTTGCCTTCTGGAGTCTTGAGATTTCCGAGTTGGAGAGTAATTTCTTTGACGTGTGACTTTCAGGCTGGAATGCAAAAGCCTTTGGAGCAACTGCAATCTTTATGCTCCAGGGAATGGTGCAGGGTCTCCCAGGGTCTCCCAGGTACAGATGCAGAATGACAGGGGGCTGAAAGGACATTAAGGGCAGTGGTGGTGTCGTGGAGGAGCAGGGAGTGAGACCAGCTGAAAAATGATGGGCGGCGGCAAGGGGAGGCCRGGGGTTCTGTACCCCGCCTCTGCCTCCATTCAGCCTTCGCCGTGTCTGCAGATGACCTTTCTCTGGCTGACCCACAGGGCGGCTGGATTCCTGGTGTCATGTGTAATTTTTAATTGTGAGCTCATTTTTGAACCATCTCCAACTTGGGAAGCCTGAGGATCTATCCCTCCAGGAGGCCTGGTCCGATGGCTAGTGGATTCCTGGAGACGTGACCTAGTTTTCTAGAGCTCTAGACCACGGAGCAACGGAGCAACGTGGCTTTATTGCCGCCTAGTTCTGGAGACTTGAAATGGAGGGCCACGCCCCTGAGAGCAGGAGGTTCTCTTCTTCGGGGGCCTGAGGGCACCCTGGCGTGGACAGCCATCTTCTCTCCGTGTCTCCCACACGGTCTTCTCTCTCTTGTGTTTGTCTCTGTCTCTAAATTTCCCCGATGGATATGGACACCGGTTATGTAGATGGGGACCTACCCCAGAGACCTCACCTGAACTTGATGCCCCTGTGATGTCCCTGCCTCCAAATAAGGTCCCATCCTGAGGTCCTGGGAGTGAGGGCTCCGATGCGTCTTTCTGGGGAGGAGTGATACAATTTGCCCCGTCACAGAGAGCAACAGTGCGGAGCAACTTTAAATAAACTTTGCACCCCAGCGCCTCCCAGCCTCAGGAAGGCYGTGTGGACTTGGACTCGCTCATGGGCGTCCAGAGTTACATGGCCTTCCTCCTCTCCTCCTACCTGCTCTTGGATTCCCCTCTCCTCTGTATGAAGAGCTAAAGGCAACAGAAAATGTTACTTTGCTCCTCTGTTTCTCAGAATCCCCCCCAGCTCACCCTTCTGTGAGGCGCACCCTGTGGAAGTGACCAGCGTCCACAGGAGAGCGCTCACCGGCGATTCCTTCTGAGATGGCTGTGGGAGGGCAGCCAGGGAGTCCACAGAGCTCTGCATTGGGGACAGTCTGGGGCTGGCGGGGCCGTGGGGAGGCCGTAGCCGAGTGTGGAAATGTTGAAAGGAACTCGGGGCTGGGCATGCCCCGAGTGGCAGTCCTGCCATGGAAGCCCGGGCCGCCTGATGGGAAGTGGGTGTCCCGAGTGCTGGATAGTGGCGCTTTCTGTCTTCTGAATTGGGAGCCGGGAAGCCATGGGTATTAAGCGCTGGGGGCTGGGCTACTGCTGCCAGGGCCACCGGCTTGCTCCATTGCTTGCTAGAGACTGAGGGTCAGAGCTCTGGTTCCAACGATGTCAGCCGCTGACCATTTATGTGCCGATCCCTTGACCCCTTCTGCTTGACACTGTAGATCAACTTCGTCCTCCTCACCTGGACGCTGTGCATCCTGAGGCAGAAGCTTTCCAGCGTCAACGCTGAGGTCTCCAAGCTCAGAGACACCAGGTGCAGTTCCAAAATTCCCTAAAGCTTGCTTSCCTCCTCTGTAGACGGGGACACTAACATTTCTCGCTTTGTGTGGCTTATCATGTATTTACTGTGGTTTTAGGAACAGTGTTTCACAGAGTGCTACAAATAATACAYTCTCTGTGAGTACGCACGTGTGCATAGGCGTAAGAAACAGATTCATATTATTTTACTTTTATGTCTTTTTTTGTTAACGATGTCATGGCTACTTTCCCACTTTAAACTAGAGATTCTTCTACAACATGTGTATTTTCTGCTTGGAATTTTGGTGTAAGGAAGAAGCAGAACTTATTTAAATCATTCCYTATTCATGAATATAAATTATTTCTGAATTGTTTTTTGCTATTATAAATGATACTACCTTGACTACCCATGTAGGTGAATCTTTGCACATTGTGGCTTTCAAATTCTACCAGTTTAAGTGTGAAACTGCTTGAATCCAAGAGTAAGTTGAATTGAAATGCCTTMAATACAGGTTGCAGGTCACCTTCCAGGAAATTCCCGTCCAGTCCCAGTAGTGCCCGTTTAGCTGCAGCATTGCCAGCACTGGGCTTATGTCGTTTCTGTGGTCTTTCTTTTTCTTTTTCTTTTTTTTTGCTGATTTAGTAGGTGAAGTACACCATCTCACTGTCGGGTTCCATCTTCCATCTCATGTTAGAGACAGGCTCGTTTTCACATTCCTGTCATCTTCTGTGTCCCTGGACTTCCTCACTCAGCCAGGTTCATCTTCAGATCTTGCCACAACCAGACATTATCTAGACTTGATGGTCGGTGATCTTGGAACAGTCTTTTCTTCTCTCCTTGTGCATGTCTAACTCCTCCTTACCTATTGCAAAATATTTTTAAAGTAATACAAAAGTTAAAACATAAGTAGAACAAAAATTTAAGACGAAATTCCCCACTTCAACCATTTGGAGGTGGCTTTGGGTATGTTCAGAGTTCGGCACCCACGGTGACAGCCTGCTTTCCCGGGGCGTGTTCACAGCCCCTGCACCCAGGCAGCTCCATCCCGTGAGCACTTTCCTGGGAGCCCCGGGTCTCCAGGTCTGGGCCAGGTGAAGCATTCTACGCCACCCACATGCCCTCCTCCCACAGGGGAGAGGCCCCCTGCACGCTGCTCTGAGGTTCGCTTTGCCCTGTGACACAGCTCATATACGGACACTCTCGGCTGACAGCAACCCACAGAGATGCGCATTCTGTGCCAATCTCTGTTCCAAGCACCCGGCAGTGTGTCCATTCACCTTTCTACCTCTAGAGCAAGCCTTTGTATGATCCTYACTTTATCCAAGCCAGGAAACTGAGGCAAGTGAGGGTCAATAACTCCCTGAGGGAGTGAAGGGATCAGTCAGAAGAGGAATGCAGGCGCCCGAGCCAGACCTGGATCTTTACCCCAAATACCCAATGACTGCTCTTGTCTCATTTTTAAAAGTGGCTTGAGAACCCGTCTGTCTGTAGGCRTCTGTATTCTGGACGTTCTGCCTAATGGACCCGCACAGTGGCTGGTCTGAGTCAGCTTCTCTCTTGCGGGGCTCCCGCACCGCCTATCCTGGGTCAGAGCTCCTTCTTTTCACGGTGCAATACTACTCCACTGAATGGATATACCACACTTATTTATCCACTCATCTGTTAATGAACGTTTGGGTGGTTTCCTCCTGGGGCAATCGGAATGGGAAATGACTGTTCAATAGCTACAGAGTTTCTCTTTTGAGATGATAAAATCAAGGTGGAGGTATATAGTGGGGACGATTGCAGGAAGTTGTAAATGTACCCAGTGCCAACTAAATTGCATACTTTAAGTAGTCAAAATGGCGAACTGTATCTTAGGCAAATTTTACCTCGATAAAAGAAATGCTTCATGTCATCTTATATATGGGTCCACAGTTCATTTAACATGTGCCATTTAGAAGGGGGGTCCTTGAGGTCTTTCAATACTGCAAATGAAACCTTGTTAAACGTACCCACACATCTTTGTACCAGGTGAAACTTAGGTGGGCTGCATTTTAACTGCCTCTAGGATCTGGTTTCTCCATCTCTGAGCATGGGGATTGCAGGCCAGCTGTGTCCTCGCCAGGTGGCAGCTCAGACAGCCCTGGGAGTGCGGCCCCAGGACAGCGCCAGGCCTCCGGTCACACGCCTGCAACTCTCCCCCACAGGTTGCTGACCTTCAAAGCATTTGCCCAGTTCTTCATCCTGGGCTGCCCCTGGGTGCTGGGCTTCTTCCAGATTGGACAGATGGCCAGCATCATGGCGTACCTGTTCACCATCATCAACAGCCTGCAGGGGACGTTCATCTTCGTCATCCACTGTCTGCTCAGCCGCCAGGTATGTGGCTGCAGCCCCCCATCCACCCCAATCCACCCACTAGACCCCCACCTCCATGCCCCCACCTCTACCTACCAGACCTCCCACCTCCACACCCATTCACCCACCCGACCCTCCACCCCACCTCCCTTCACCCACCTCTGCCCCCCCATCCACCCCCCTCCACCTCCATCCCTCCGCCCACATCCACCCACCTGACGTGCCTGGGTGCCTGTGGCAGAATCTTGCTGGGTCCAGGAGCACCCATCCTGCTGTCCTCCCGTGCTGTGTCTCTGTCTCAGGTACGAGAAGAGTACAGGAGGTGGCTCACCAGGAAGACCAAGCCCAGCTCCCAGTCCCAGACCTCGGGCATCCTGCTGTCCTCCATGCCCTCCTCGTCCAAGACGGTGAGGGTCTGCTGTGCTCCACGGGCTCTGGTCAGAGGGAGGCCTGCCGCACTGTGACGCTGGGCACCACCACAGCAGGCAGCCCCAGGAGGCCAGGGCGGGAGCCAGGCGGTGTGGGCTTGAATCACGGCTCTGCCCCTCGCTAGCTGAGCAACTTAAGAAGGGGTGAAATTTCGACTTGCACAGATATAAGATGAGCAAGGGTTAAGGGTTTTATTCTATTCATTAATCAACAAGGGGCCCAGGTTGATGTTATAACTGGTTTTAAAAATGCCAAGAACATGATCCCTGCAATAATACAAAGACAAAATGGTACAGAAATGTTCAGAAAACAGTTGCAAGAACATCAGCACAAAGAGAATTGATTACCTCTTAACACACCACAGGAGGATGCCAGCTTTGGCTGGAAGTCACCACGATCCAGTGGCTTAATTATACAGGAATTATTTTTCTTGATGAAAAGTGTCCAGCATTAGGTGTTGCTGAATTGCTTCTATTTCTTAGCGATGTTGTAAAAGATCTAGGGTCTGTGGGCTGGGTGTGGCTCAGCGACACAGCAATGCTCTGCATGAGTGAGGAAGGCTTTGCATAGTTTTCCCCTAATCATCATCACGTTGACTTTTCATCATGGCTGTCACAACCCCAGACATCACAACTATGCTCAAGGCAAGAAGAGGAATGGGGCAGAAGCAATTCTCTTTTCTTGCTTCTCTCTTGAGCAGGGAGCAAAAACTTTCCCAGATTTTTCTTCACTTAATTGGTTAGAACTATGCAATGTGACCACTGCTGCTGGCAAAGGAATCTGAAAACAAAAACAAGTGTTTGATTTGTAGCTTCTAGAATGGGAGCAACCTGGGGTGGGGAGGCTGGGAACGGCTTTGTAGCTAGCAGTGCCTGCCACGCTGAGGGCAATGGTTTCTCGGCACGTTTATCCTTGTCGTCTCTGCCACTATCTTTATCTCTGTGCATTTTGGAAAGACCCATGGCTGTAGATACGACCTTTGTACTCACTTTCAGACTCTGAAGAAGTTTTCTCTTCTCTCTACCAGGGTTAAAGTGCTTTCCTGCTTTCTCATGCACTATCCTGGAACAGCCTTCGAGAATTTTAAGTGCCTGCAGAAGCCTGGTCTGATTTCCCTTCTCTGCCTGCTATGGAGATGCAAGATCCCACCAGCTCTGAACTCTCGGGAGGGGTGGGAAGGGGGGTCTCATGCACTGGTGAGAATCAAGAGTTTCTGCTGCAAATTACTGTTTACCCTCTGTAGCTTGCCACTCCCTGTGTTTCCAGAGTTGTTGGAAATGATCGCAGTGCAAGGTAGGTCTGAGGACAGGTGGCTACATTGTTTCTCTCCTGCGATCCTTGGTTCAGGGGTCTGAGTGTGGCCTCTGCACATGTCAGGTGCCTGGCATAGAGCAGCTTTCAGGAAGTGACTGGTCGTCTGAGTGAGTTACCATGAGACACATGCTCTCCCTGCTTTTGAAGAAATGATCAATAAAACCTGGCGGAAGTTCCGCCGTACACAGGCAGAGGCTTCTTTCACACAGAATTCGACTGGTGAGTGGGAGCCTTCGATGGAACAGAGTCCAGTGTTTCTTGGAGAGAAGCACTTGGTGACAACACCCTTTGGCAAATGCCTTGGTTTCCAGGGTGTCCAGGGAAGTTTCTGGCGGAGACTTGGGTGCTGAGGGGAGAGAAGAGGGGTGAGAATTTAAATGGTAGATAAGCTCCCTTCAGTGGGCACTCGAAAACCTCCGTATGCAAAGTGTGGTCCACGGACCAGCAACACCACATCACTCGAGAGCTTGCTGGCAAAACGAGCCCCGCATCCGGCCACACCCCGGACCTACAGCTCAGAGCCTGAATTGTAACGTGACCCGGGAGGCGTRGAGGCACTGGGGCATCTGCGGGTGTATCCTGGAAGCTGGAAGGAAAGCCTTCTCCTCTTGAATCTAAGTCTTTGCACCTGGCTTCTCTTCCTTGGAAACCTTCCCTCAAAATTGCTGATTTCTACCTTCCCTGAGACTTGGTTTAATCACACTTCTAGTAGGAAGAGTTCTTTGCATTGGCTGGGGTAGGAGGCGGTATCATCTTTGAACGACCCCATGAACCTCATGTTTTGTCACCCCGTATTGTACTTTCTCTCCTATTGGGTGTGTCCAACTTAAACTGTGTCTCCAGCAGGATGGATATTTGCACGTACTAGATTCTTAATAAAGCTGTTGGATGACTGACTGAATGAACGGATGACCACTCTCATTCTTGAAGATGAGAACACTGAGGCTCAGAGAGGTTAAAAGCCTATCTCAAGGTCACACAGCTACAAGTGTCCGAGCTGGCTTCTGAGTTCTTGACCACAAAGCTCCTCTTCCAGACCCTTCATCCCTTCCCTTTTCTCCCTTTGCAGGTCGATACTGTACATTGACTTTGAGTCACCTTGGCACTTAGGACTGTAGCAATGCACTAGCTGAGAGACACCTGAGGGACATCAGGTGTTGAACTCTTGGATCACAGGAAACTCAGCAGATGGCGCCTCTGCTATTCTGGTGGATCCTGTTTATAAACAGGGCTTCATGTGATCCAGGTGGGTCTTCCTGGCTTGTGTTCAGAGCACTCAATGTAGTGGTGACAGATATAAGGGACACGGAAGCAGGAGATGGCATGTCACCCATGGCCAGTGGTGGTAGGCTGAGTGGGTCCTGGGCTCCAAGGATGGTCTCCGCCTCCTACACCCCTTCCTCCTGCTCTGAGCCTGGGCTTGCATCTGCGGCCAGCCTTGGCCAACAGTGGGAGCAGGTGGGGCTCAGGCAGAAGTTTCAAAACCCTGTGCGCATGTGCCTGTGTGCGCGCGCCTCCCTCTCTCTGCGTCCACTCCTGCATCCTCACCTGGTGGCCAGAGCCCACCCAAGCTCACCTGTGGGCGGGTGCAGGAGAGCCTGGCATTCTCCAGCTGGGTGCAGTGAGCAGCCTGGCAGCCCCACGGGGCCACCAAGATGCAGTGGCTGCGATGGTGTCTTTGCTTGGGGACACCCAGCCTCCAGTGGTTTGCTGAGAGGCAACTGCGAAGGACACAGCAAGTGGCCATTGGGCTGGGGAGTCCTGCCTTTGGTAGAGGCGCTTGGAGCTAAGAGGAGGTCTCTGGCCTCATTTCCTGGGAGCCAGCAGGATGGACAGTCCATTAACCACCGTCCTCCTGACTCACAGAGGGCTTGGTCTGGCTCCACGCCACTGTCACGTGTTGGTCCAAAATGCTGTCACCTTCGGGAACTCTGGGTTTCCAAGGTGAGCTGTGATGGCAGCCACACGAGATCTTGTTCTGAAGTTCAATTGCATAGCTGTAGGGGTGCCGTGTGGTGACGCAGAACGTGACCCGGTGCGTAACGATCAAGTCGGGGCAGTGGCTCTTTCTCCCTCATTAAACAGCATTTTTCATTGCTGTCTGATAGTTGTCTGCATTTTTGATACATGTAGGCAAAGGGTCCTGATCAAATCTGGGTGGCTAATGTTTCCTCTTCATCAAACATTTTTAAAGAAACCTTTAAAAATTAGCATAATAATTGTACATGCTTCTGGGACACAGTAGGACTTTTTTTTTTGACCAGTGTATCATTATACCCCAACATGGGGTTCACGGTGACACTCTCACCTACGGGGAGCACAGTGAGGTCGTTCCACCCCGCAGCTCCTCTCTTGGCCCGAGTCCCCCTCCATCCCTTCCTTCCTGTGGCGGCCTTTGTCTTTTCTGTCTTCATGAGATCCCTGTTTTAAAATTCCTTCTCTCTCTCTAGCTTCTGCCCATGAGAGAAACATTTGACCTTGACCTTCTGGGTCTGGCTTCTTTCACTTGGTGTGATGTTCTCCGGTTCCATCCATTGACCAGCGTATGCTGTACTTTCATTCTTCCTTATGGCCGAGTAATATTCCATTGTGTATAGACATCACATTTTCTTTATCCATCACCTGTTGATGGGCACCTAGGCTGGGTCCATAACTTAGCTATTGTGAACTGTGCTTCAATAAACATTGAAATRCAGCTTTCCCTATAGTATTCTGATTTTTAGTTGTTTTGGATCAATATCGAGGAGTGGGATAGCTGGGTATCATACGGTGGTTCCATTCCTAGTTTTTCAAGGAATCTCCATACYGCTTTCCAGAGGGGTTGCACTAATTTGCAGCCCCACCAGCCATGTACGAGGGTACCTTTCCCCACATCCTTGCCAGAATTTATTATTTGTATTCTTGATGATTGCCATTCTAAGCAGGGAGAGAGAAAATCTCAGTATATTTTGATTTGCATTTCTCTGATTGCCAAATATATTGAAAAATTTTCCATGTATTTGTTGGCAATTTGTATTTTTATTCTTTTGAGAAATGTGTGTTAAGTTCATTTCCCCATTTACTGATTGGGTTATTTTGTGCTGATTTTTGGAGTTCTCTCTGTATTCTGCATATTAGTCCCCTGTCAGAGGAGCAGCTGCCAAGGATCCTCTTTCTGTAGGTMGTCTTCACACTCTTGCTTCGTTTGCTAAGCAGAAGGCTTCTGGTTTGATGCCACCCCACTTGCTGATTCTGGGTTTTATTTCTCCAGCTGTGACACTTCAGTACATGYGTACAGTGYSTACTGACCAAATCAGGGTGATTAGAGTTTTCATCTTACCACGACTTCACATTGGGAGTGTTCAGCTCCGTCTTCTAGCTCAACAACAGGCTGCCGTGCACCAGTCACCCCACAGTGCTGCAGAACCCTGTGTTCTCGCACCCAGTATCCAACGTCCCCTCCCTTCTCAGTCCCCAGTAATCACTATTGTGCATCCCACGGCTCTTTGAACACCCACACGCGAGTGAGAACCTGCAGGACCTGTCTTCTGACTYTGGCTTTTTTCGCTAGCCACGATGACCTCCAGTTCCACCCACGGTGCTGCAAACGGCAGGTTCCCTTCTGCTTTAGGCTGAACCGCACCCACTGTGTGTCTATCTGAGTYCCCATCAGCAGGCCAGTGGGTGAGACTCTGGTGGGTTCCTTTGAACCCTGTGATCTCAATTGTCACCACTAGAGGGGGGAAGAKGCGACAAAACGGCAAGGTTTCTCCCCTTGTGACAATGGCTGTTGTAATCCAAACAATTCATGGTCCCTCCCAACCCACAATACTTGAGAAACATTTATTGACTGTCTACACTGTGCTTTTATCTCTCAGAACATTAAATAGTAGGTGAAAAAATATTGAAAAATTGAAAAGTAAAGGTTTTAGGACTCAGAACAGTTTCAAATGTAAATATTTCATTCATCCTCAAACCATGATTATTAAAATGGTAACTTCCAGGTTCTAATAGAAGTTAACCCCATCAGTAATATTACAAAATCAACTTATGGAGAAAAAAAATAACCATTAAAAGCAGTATTCAGCCTTGGATGGGGGTGTAGGTCCACGGCAGAGTGCTTGCTGGGTTCTCTCCCTAGCACCCCCAAATAAAATTTGCTAAGCAACCTTAAAAAAGAAAGAAATCCCACCATTTTCAGGAACACCCATGAACCTAGAGGACACTCTGCTGAGTGAAATGAGACAGACAGAGACAACGCCGAGTGGTCTCACTGCATCGCCCATCTGCAGTTCCCATCAGCCGACGTAGTGGAGGTCCCAGGAATGGAGGCCGAGCAGGGGAGGGGGCGGGCAGACCCCGGGGCGGGCGTGGGTCAGAGGCACAGAGTGGAGTCAGGGTGATGAGCCCAAGGCTCCCCCATGGGGACTGCAGGTCACAATCACGCAGACTGGAATTTGCTGAGAGAGGATTGGAGGGGTTTGTCTCACACACACACACACACACACACACACACACACACACACACACACGAGACAGCTCCAGTGACGGTGAGGTCAGCCTGGCTGAAAGCAGAGGCCGGCGTGGGGGTTTGTGCTCAGAACTTCCGGAGTGCTCTGCGTAGGGGGTGAGGGTGGCAGGGTGAGGGTAGTCCTGGGGAAGGCTGTGACCCCGAGCCCTGGGAGCCCTGGAGCASGAGTCGCCCGCCAGCACCAGCCAGGTTGACCCGGGGGGGCCCCCTAGGCCGTGCCAGTCAGTTCTTGTCCCCATGGCAATGGGTGGTGTGCGGCCTCCAGGTGAGGGGGTTCTTACTCTGCCATGCCAGTTCTCTGGAGAAAGCAACAGGGG